TTTGGATGCCATTCTAAGACCGTTGTTCTGACATCCTCCCACTTCTTCAAAGGATCTTTAATAACAGATATTGGCATTAATCCTCTTTTTCAGAAGAGAACATATCTTGCCGAGTTCCTTGGTGTTCTTCATTCAAGAGTTCCTGGCGTCCTTCTGTTGTCAGATCCGTTTCAGGTTCCATTATGAACTCTTCGATGTTCTTTATTTCTCAGATGTGATTTTTGTTACTCCTTTAGCTGCTTGAGTCTTCTTGATTATACAGTATTTTTCTTAAATAAGATTGAACTGAGGCATACTGTAGACCTGTTCACGCCATACTGTCCAGCAACATTAGGCATCTTCTGCCCACTCTCTACCTTTGCTATTATACTCTCACCTTTCGAAAAGAAAAACGGACACAAAACTTAACGAGTGCCTACCTGACAGTCTTTCGAACACATAAAAAAATTGTTTTGTCAGAAAAATCAAAGGCTGGAATTACAAGGGAGAGTTTCAAAGTTCGGAGGAATACTATCCAATTGGTATATACTGACTTAAGCGTCGATGTTGACGTCTTCCGCACTCCAAAAAGTTTCGAATTGTTGCCTGAAGACAAGGGAAGACCAATCGGTATTCATTATTTTACGTCGCTTCTTCTTGTGTTTGTTCTGTGGGGTGTTCGTTATCCGATCATGTTTTCATTGTCCTTTCACAAAAGTGTTCGTTATCCTATTTGTTCATTAACCGGTCACCCACTGTAGTTCTCTGAGCAATATATGCAGAGGGAGAAATTGTTAGAAACTTATCAGCTTTTAAGATAGAAGGTCAAGTAGAAAAAGTAATAATAAAGCCTGGACTGACTGACAGAAAATGAACAGGAAAGAACTGAAGTTGAGCCACATAGTAGTGATGAGCATAACATCAGTATCTATGATTTAATCACAAAGATAACAAAATCACAGTTGCGATCTTTGATTTTGTTAGTTTAGAAAGCATGATCACTGGATTGTTAATCATGTGATTGACAATTGGTAACAGTCCGGTGTAATTTCCTGACTGATAGTAAAGTTTACCTTAACTTTGTATTGCTGTGAAAGCTATGGGCTGCTGAACACTAATAAGTAATTCACAACAAAATATAGTTGGAAAGTAGATGTAATTATCTTACTACTATTTATAGGTTTACCTTGCAGATGTGCTGTGAATAACTGCTTTTTTGACTGCAATTTCAAGAACTGTGCTAACAAATTTACATTTGAAATCTCCATGCTGTTAACTGCTGTTTCTGTAGCAACAGAGTTACATTAGTTATTTATACTTAACGTTAGTGAAAATTTTTAATTTACAGTGATTTAATGACGTTATTAATCATATGAATACCAAAATATTGTCACTATTTTGGCAGACACACACAAATTATTACACCTTTAGACTATACTTTGTCATGAATTATTTATTAGTGCTCAACTATCCTTAGCTTTCACAGTGGTCCAAAGTTAAGATAAATTTTACCATAGTTTAGTTTAATGTATGAAAACTTCAAAGAAAATTTGAAAAGCATTAAACTTTTCATCTTCGGAGGCCATATTNATCTAAATTAAGTTTAGAAGTGGACAGTTGAAAGTGAAAAGATTTCACTTTCAACTGTCCACTTCTAAAGATGATCTGTTAATCAGATTGAAAACATTTCATTCCTTGAACTTTACTCACTATTAAAGGTACATTGATTTATTCAGCACTGAAAGTAATGTATTCTATATTATGCTGTTTTAAAATAGATGAGTATTTTGTAGAATAATTGCTAATTATAATTGTTTTTCTTTTAGAATATAGAAAAAACAGATGGTAAAGAAAGTAGAATTCCTTTTCTGTCGACAACAAGTGGATGGCAAAAATCTCGAATTGCTCGAACATTACGGCCTACGGTTATCACAAACAGAGAAGATTGCAGCAATGAAAGTATGGATTGCGAATCATCCGAGAAAGAGCTTTCTAGTGATAAATCTCCAGAGTATTGGCATAACTTAATTGGTCAACGAGTTTGTATCGGCGGGGTTAAAAAAGGTGTGTTACGATATTATGGCAGAACAAAGTTTGCTAATGGTATATGGTGTGGCGTTGAATTAGACGAAGCTGTTGGAAAAAATGATGGTACTGTTGATGGTGTAGAATATTTTAATTGTAAAGCAAATTTTGGAATATTTGCTCCTGTTTCTAAAGTTGAAAAAATTATAGTTGATGATAGTTCTAATAATATTGAAATGTTGGAAATAAAAAAAGAAAATGCAGTTATTCCTTGCACAAAATCAAAATTACCTCCTCCTAAAATAACTGCTAAGAATTTGATATCTAAAATTTCAGGAAATAAATTTTTGGAATCTGATGAAAATTTAGAAAAAGATAATAAGTCTCCAGTTTCTCAGTATTATGGGAAGAGATCAAAAATTTCTTGTAATTCATCAGATTCTAAAGATTACAGCATTAATAATAAGACACAGGTTATAACCGTTGGTTGTGATTGTATCTTTAATGTTGATAATTCCAATGAAATTAGAGATGATGAGTCACCGGAACATTTTGCAAAAAGAAGCAGACTGTCTTCAGAAATGAAATCGCAATGTTTTGATATTACTTTTAATATTAAAGATACATCTTTGAAACAGACTAAGAGTTCATCCTCATTAAAAGAAAATGAAATAGATCAAAATTTAAATTCTACATTTAATATGAGTCCCATAATAACAGAAAATAACAGAATAGAAAATTTAGATAATAAAGACAGTTTCAATAGGACGTTTTCGTTAAATGATTTTATCGAGAAAGTAGATTCTTCATCCATGCCAAATGAATTGTTGGAAAATTCTAATGGATATGACGACGATCAAATATCTTTAGATTTAGATGAAAGTCTGGGAATTCTCACGCCGAATCAGATGAAAGATTTTACTATATGTTTAGAAAATCAGAATTCCGGGATAATAGATATCGAGACTTTAAATATTCCCAACTCTGAGTCTTGTGACGATATTAATGATATACCTGAATACGAAGCAATTCAAGGAATTACTATTGAATATACTCCAGAAAATATTAGTGGTGTTCAGGTTTCTGTAACAAAGCATTCTGTTGAAAATGAGGATTCGACGTTTCTATCTTCAGATAAAGAACTAGTAGTTGAAAATATTGATAAACTTGAAAAATGCAAAGAAAATATTCTTACTGACAATTATGACACATCTAAAATATATAACACAGATACCAATCCAGAAACTGATGATGAAAATGAATCTGTAACAATTAAAGATGCCGATACATTGGTATGTGATATTGATCCACAAGGCATTCTTAATGAAACATATGTTAACAATATAGATGAAAACGATGTAAATCATGAATCAGATTCTTTGGTTGATAAAGCAATTCCTAAAAGTGAATTGCAAGTGGAAAATGAATTATATAAAGATAAAAATAATACACTTCTAGCATATACAGCGGAAATGTGTCCATTTAATAATAAAGATTCTATTTTCGATAATCGTACTATTAGTGAAAAAAATGTAAATGATTCCTGTGAAAATTTCGATGATCATTTACAAAAAGATAATTTACAAGAAAACCGTCCAATATCTTTACACACGCTAGGAAGTACAGATACTGGTTATCAAGAAGACGAAGAATTTGATAATCAAAGCGAAACGGGAGTAACGTCAAATTTAAAACGATTTTCAACTTCCAGTCGTGATAGCTGTACTGTTCTCGATGACGTTAATCAGAAGGAAAATAGTCGAGTTGTTGATTCTGGCATAGTTTTATCAGCGGATGGAGATGAAATATTTGGACAAAATGATATTACAAAAACTTTGAGTAATGAAATTGAAGTTCATCAGGAAAATAACTTAAGTTTGCAAAATAATTCAAATATTAAAAAGGTAGATATAAGTCAGTTAAATACATTAGACAGATGGCCGATGGAAGCATCAGACGAAAGCTGTCACATGTTCGAAAAAGCCATTTGTTCGGATCTACATCAGTTTCAATCGGAATCTCATATTTTACATAAAAATGATCTACAAATGGAAATTGTTAATGATGACATTGATAGAGATGATGTAAGTGACTCTGCTCAAAACACAATTATTGAAAGCAATTCAAATATTACAGTTCCTGCCAGAAGTCCTTCCATTATATACTCTGAAAAACCAGTCCAAAAAGTACAATTAAAACCTAAAGAAAATTTACCAAAAAATAAAACTGATACAGAAGAAATCGATAAAGCATCTGTAGTGGATATGGACAAAAAGAATATTGTTAGAACGCCCAAGAAAAATGTTATGTCTAAAATAAAGGCAATGATCGAGGCCACGACATCTAAAACGAAAACGAAAAACGATAACGAACAAGTTAAGAAAAGTATTCCCAAAAAGAGTCGATGGGAAGCGGTCACTTCTAAAATCGCAGCTAGTCTTGCCGAAGAAAAGACAAAATCGAAAACAAAGAAAGAAATTAAAAGTAGAATAGATACAAATTTAGTTGGAGCTAGACAAATAATTACAAAAAAGCCTCAAAAAACAGATTTTCTAAGAGTAAATTCTTCATTTGAAAATGAAGACGTTGCATCCGATTCGTCACATACAATGAGAAATTCTTTTGATCATCAAAGGTAAGAGGTATTATTAATATATGTATGGTTTAATATTAATAAATTAATATAGTAATTTAAAATGATTATCATAAAAAGATTAGTCTTTTTATTAATTACAAGAGTTAAGTACTATTTTAGTTAACAGTTAGTTGGTACTTTGAATTTTAGCATATTGCTATTTAGATGAATGCAGATAGCTGTGCTATGCTGAACCAACAGCTTTTCAAAAGAGGTGAAATGGCAGTTAACAGGAATGGTATATTTGAAAATTTAGAATTTTTATGCAGAAAATTTTATTAAAATTAAAAATTTTTATAAAAAGACAATATAATTGATTTTAAACTTTTTTAATTTTATAATTTACATACAGAATTATATTGTATATCATAACTTTGATATATCTATATATATAATCGAGATGGGTTGATGATGATAATAATAATAAGCGCAGAGCCTAAATGGTTAGGAGTTGAAAGTTGAAATTTGGTACACAGATAGGGTACGTCACGAAAACGCACACTAAGAAGGGATTTTTCGAAATTCCCCCCGGGGAGAGAGACAGGATTAAGGCTTAACACTTCCGTCAACAATGGAAGTGTTAAGTAACAATGGAATTGTTAAGAGAAAGCGACATGCAAGACACAGATGCAGATTTTTCGTTTTTGCGGGAAATCGAACATATTTTTAGACCCATCTAAAAATTCTCTAATCAGTCCGGAAACAGGGGGACCCAATTCTTGCATTCTGCCATTCACAACATTTTTATATGGATAAACTAGGCATAAAAAGATATTAAAATTTATATGTGTAGAAAACTTATTAAATATTAAATATTCATCTTCTATAAAAATGGGCCAATATGTAAATAAAAATAAAAACCTCAAGTTTTTCCCAGGAGATTGATGCAAAAAATTTAACACAAACAAATGCTTTTGGTCTGCTTCTAAGATCTGTTTCTGGTGGTTGAAATGCTTCGATATTCAAAAATGAATGCTCCATAGAACCTTGTATAAATATGAACTAGAATTTTGATCAAGAGGGTGTTTCCACTCGTAGCTGAATTAATTAAAATGTTTAAAGATATGTTAAATGTCAATGGAACCATTTTGAATATTTCACTTCTACAGTGTAGCCATTGGATAATCTCTTTCATAACATTACTTAGCATTTTCAGAATACTATTATAGTAGACATATTATCCTACTGGTACTCCAGTTTCAGTTCATATTCAGAAACATGACTTTTTCAAAAAGTCATTTTAACCATTTAAGGAGTTAAAAGTACTCTTTACATATAAAAACTCAAATATAACATATTTAAATCACAGTGTAATAGTAAATTTAGGAAAAATAAACAGAAGTTTATAAAAAGGAGACTTTTGTATTGATCTACACTCATTGTAAATCAAAAGTATCATTTATGTAAAAAATGACTGCATTTATATACAGAAAAATATTTACTTCTTTACAGAGTCTTTTTATTTAAGATAAATGATATTTAAGCTTTTATTTAAATGTTTCTGAATCATTAAGATTCACAAAAGTTCTGTATCTGAAGATGAGTTAAGAAGGCTCATCCTCAGATACAGATTTAAACTCAACAGAACATATTTATATTTCTAATTTCCTGTAGAGCATCAAAAAACTTTCACATGTGATCTTATTTCGAAAGAGGATTAAAATGATATTGTTCAAATAAATATTTTTAAATTATTAAACTTTCCAATATGGAAAGATAATTAAAGATATTGAATAATAAAATTAACAAAACAATGTAAATAAATAAAGTAGCAAAAACAGTTTGGATTTAGTCTGTCCATAGTTCATCCGTAGTGTCTTTTTTCTGTTGTTTCCTCTTTTCTGAAATTATTGTCTTCGTCATCCTTAAGCATGGGTTAAGGTCCAACCTGTCGTATCTTTTGTTAACAACTCGGTTTTCTTCTTTTGCTATTAATAATTCTTCGACAGTTTCTTCTTTCCAGCACTGTAATCTTAGCTTCCACATTGGATCTTCTATCTGCAAACTTGTTTCGCCAGAGCTGTGGTATCTTCTTTCCTGATTGAATCTTTGTGTTCTTTTATTCTTTGTTCTAAAGTTCTGAGAGTGCTTCTAATACAATAAAAAACCTCTATGAAGGAGTAGTGTTTTTCCGAGTGTATGTATTATGGGAACGAAAGTTGACAATGATGACAGCATTTACATATATGAATTGAAGAGCAAAAAGATATTACTCAAATCAGATCGAATTGAGGTTTTAGCTTGTATACAAATAAAATGGCTGTTAAATTTAGGTATAGGTATACACCCAAGTTAGAAAAACAATAAATAAGGAACAGAGATGCAAAAAACATCAAGAGGACAAAGAAGGATGTAGGAATGGATTGATAGAAGAAAGAAATACAGTAAAAATAAAAATAATAATAATAAAAAATATTATATGAATGGAAAATAAGAGAAAAGATGAAGTAAAAAAATTTATGAAAGGTTAAAAATGATTAAACTGAAATTAGATAAACTAGATGGAACAAGAGTTTATGAAATTAAAGTAAGAAATGTATGAGAAGGAATACAGTTCAAATGCCTAGGCAACATATTTAGATTAAAACAGAATTTCAGAATGTAAGAAAGATCTGAAGAAAAATAAGCAATGTTGGATTTGGCTGCATATTTATTAAGAAATCAAGTAGACACAGACTAGCAAGATGTTACGTTATAGCAAAAAGCAATTAGAGAACATCTAATAAGATTATAGAAATACACGAGAACAGCAAATAATTAAATATATAAACAAGATTTAATAACTATTATATTAAAACTTATGATGAATTAATATCTTGGGTATGGAATGCCAATGAAATCTATCAAAATAGGAAGGAAAAAAGAACAAAAAAGGATGTAAAAAATTTATAATTAATGTTTATATTTAAAATTATTAATGAAAAAGGAGTTTTTCAAAAAGATTCATTGATCTAATTGAACATTGAAAATTTGCAGAGTACTAGAATTTTTAAAGCAAAAAATTTAGTAGTAGTGTATATTTTTTAGGTCCTTAAAGTTTTTTTACATTTTTAGTTGGTAAATGAAAAGTTACTAACAAAGGTTATGGAATTATATTATGATTCCTGAGGGTGATTCTGAAGAACCTGAAAGATACTGAAAAATGAATGTATCTATGGGACATCAGTTTAAAAGCAGGTTTAAATTATGCAATGTATGTCAATTCACGCTGTGATATTATTAAAGATTTTAAAGACATGTCAATTTTAATCATGATATGAGAAAAAGAGAAACAAGACTTTTTGTAATTGTATCTATTGATTGCAATTGGCAATTACAAACTCAGATTTTCTTTCATCAAGAGCATATTTAAAAATTATATAGATACAGTCACAGACATATTCATCTGTGACATGCAAAGAATTTTTAGAGGTGTTCTTGATAAGAGATATTCTTGATATACAAAGATAAAGCTATTCACTAAGTTTATAATTATAAGTTAACTGGAGTTTATAATTATATAACTGGAGATACTCCGCATCATTTCATAGCTTTATCTGCTTTAAAATTGACTTTTAAATGCAGATTTCTCATGGAATATCACTATTTTTTGAAACCATCAAAGGCACATATGCTTTATCATTAATTCGTTTCTGTATTCCAATCCACATTTCGATATTATTAAAGATTTTAAAGACATGTTAATTTTAATTGTGAGAGAAAGAGAAACAAGACTTTTGTAAGTAGAGTTTAAAAAATAAACAAATCAAAGAAAATGGTAATGACATCATTAGTTTTGATTTTGTAAGCAGAAAGTAATGCTGTTGTCTGTAAACAAAGTGAAACATTGAACAGTTAAATTAGTGCTGTAATTTTAATTGCAAAGTTCAGTTTATAGCAATAAAATGCTTAAGTGTTTATAGCCTACTAGTATTAAATTAGCAAGTTATATGTCTTAACTATCAATGAAACTGACTGACCACTTATCAAAGATAAATTTTAAAAATTTTAATGTCATTGAAATTAAAATCTTTTGACTTTATTTTTATGAATCCATTGAAATGGGCTTGAAAGTCGATTGCTCAGCTTTTACACAGAACTTTTTAAGTACAGTAGGTGATCGGTTAACGAACATAATCCGTTCCAAGACTTTGTTTGCTATCTGAATTGTTCATTAACCAATTATCGATTTACCATAGGTTTTAATTGGAATTTAATTAATTCGTTCTGGAGACCCCCAAAAATAAAAATATATACTTTCTTACTACATTTATTTATATGTAATAATAAAAATACATACATAAACAGTCTTGCATTTTTATTAGTCATGTTTTTTCTGTTTGAAAGGGTTAAAGAATCTGTCTAATGTCGATTGCTTTTCTCGCTTCTTCAGGATTTTTCGTAAGTAATTAATAGCATTATAATTGTAGAAATCCCCAAGCCTCAATCTGTTTTGGATGCCATTTTAAGACTGTTGTTCTGACATCCTCCCACTTCTTCAAAGGATCTTTAATAACAGATATTGGCATTAATCCTCTTTTTCAGAAGAGAACATATCTTGCCGAGTTCCTTGGTGTTCTTCATTCAAGAGTTCCTGGCGTCCTTCTGTTGTCAGATCCGTTTCAGGTTCCATTATGAACTCTTTGATGTTCTTTATTTCTCAGATGTGATTTTTGTTACTCCTTTAGCTGCTTGAGTCTTCTTGATTATACAGTATTTTTCTTAAATAAGATTGAACTGAGGCATACTGTAGACCTGTTCACGCCATACTGTCCAGCAACATTAGGCATCTTCTGCCCACTCTCTACCTTTGCTATTATACTCTCACCTTTCGAAAAGAAAAACGGACACAAAACTTAACGAGTGCCTACCTGACAGTCTTTCGAACACATAAAAAAATTGTTTTGTCAGAAAAATCAAAGGCTGGAATTACAAGGGAGAGTTTCAAAGTTCGGAGGAATACTATCCAATTGGTATATACTGACTTAAGCGTCGATGTTGACGTCTTCCGCACTCCAAAAAGTTTCGAATTGTTGCCTGAAGACAAGGGAAGACCAATCGGTATTCATTATTTTACGTCGCTTCTTCTTGTGTTTGTTCTGTGGGGTGTTCGTTATCCGATCATGTTTTCATTGTCCTTTCACAAAAGTGTTCGTTATCCTATTTGTTCATTAACCGATCACCCACTGTAGTTCTCTGAGCAATATATGCAGAGGGAGAAATTGTTAGAAACTTATCAGCTTTTAAGATAGAAGGTCAAGTAGAAAAAGTAATAATAAAGCCTGGACTGACTGACAGAAAATGAACAGGAAAGAACTGAAGTTGAGCCACATAGTAGTGATGAGCATAACATCAGTATCTATGATTTAATCACAAAGATAACAAAATCACAGTTGCGATCTTTGATTTTGTTAGTTTAGAAAGCATGATCACTGGATTGTTAATCATGTGATTGACAATTGGTAACAGTCCGGTGTAATTTCCTGACTGATAGTAAAGTTCACCTTAACTTTGTATTGCTGTGAAAGCTATGGGCTGCTGAACACTAATAAGTAATTCACAACAAAATATAGTTGGAAAGTAGATGTAATTATCTTACTACTATTTATAGGTTTACCTTGCAGATGTGCTGTGAATAACTGCTTTTTTGACTGCAATTTCAAGAACTGTGCTAACAAATTTACATTTGAAATCTCCATGCTGTTAACTGCTGTTTCTGTAGCAACAGAGTTACATTAGTTATTTATACTTAACGTTAGTGAAAATTTTTAATTTACAGTGATTTAATGACGTTATTAATCATATGAATACCAAAATATTGTCACTATTTTGGCAGACACACACAAATTATTACACCTTTAGACTATACTTTGTCATGAATTATTTATTAGTGCTCAACTATCCTTAGCTTTCACAGTGGTCCAAAGTTAAGATAAATTTTACCATAGTTTAGTTTAATGTATGAAAACTTCAAAGAAAATTTGAAAAGCATTAAACTTTTCATCTTCTAAGGCCATATTTGAAGTACAGCAATATATATATATATATATATGTAAGCCAACATTTTGCCTTGAAAATGTGATCATTTATTATGCTGGTAGAAGAATAAATACATGTACAAGTTGTGGTTATTGACCCAAGAAATGCTTGATATGTTAGCCACATCAATTCCTTGCAAATGCTTATTTTCAAAAGCAGATTATTAATTTCAGACATTAGTAGTTGCCTTTCTGATATTAAAATGAATACGATATTGTGATAAGAGAGCAAAAATTCATGTGATTACATCATATATTAAAATCACTCATTAGAAAGTCACAGTAATGAATTGTCTGTGATTGCAAAATCACAAAGTTGCATGTAACTAGGGTTTCTCATTTCCTGGTCTTTTGCTTGTCCTGGGATTCCGGGATAAAAGTGAACTGTTTCTCGGGATCTTGGGAAATCCTGGGATAGAATTAATTATTTTTCATTTTTTAAAGTAATTTAATACATTCTGTAACCTCCAAAATCATATTAACCACTTGCCGTCCACAAACTCCCACACAAGGCACTCAATTGGCCATCGCATACCTGGCAAGGCATATATATATATATGATATATAAATATAAACATCTTTACTGAACCCAATACATTGCAATAATATTATACAGCAATATACATGCAATATATGGCAGTTGAAGAGTGTTATTGCAATGTATCAGGTTTAGTAAAGATGTTTATATATGCATTGCCGGATATGTGATGGCTGACTGAGTGCCTTGTGTGGGAATTTACAGGACGAGGGCACCGAATGCGTCCCCAGTTGGCGCCGTAGTAACTGACGATGGGTTATATTGTAATGTTAAATATACTGGAAGTGGAGATTGGACCAGAGGTTCAGGTAGCGTAACTGGTAATGCAATCGCATGGTAAGCGACAGTTGCGGGTTGGAGTCCCACTCCAGGTTGATTCTTTTCTTCCAGTCTAATCTAAAATTATTTAATTAAATTATAATTATTAAATTAATTATGAGATGATGCCTAACACCTCTCTCTAGGGTCAAATTTATTAGTAATTTATACTGTAATTATTATTGCCAAATTATAGCCCGATGATATATGGCAGTTGAAGGAGTGTTATAGAATGATAGTTTTTGATGAAAACTTTCAAGAACTAAACTTATTTGTTAAAATGTATAAAACTATTAACCATTTTTCAAATTTAAAAAAAATCTCAACTAGAAAATTATTGTGTGCAATTAACTATTATTATGTAATATTTTAAATTATTATTTGCAACTTAATATCTTTAAAATTAGATGATTAACTTTATGATAATTAAAATTTACAAACTACTTTTAATATATTTATGTTACGGTTATGGCACATTTTCACTTTGTCTTACAGCATGTAATATTTGTTGTCTTGCAACTAATTTGCAACTAATATTTATTAATTTTTCTCTCAGTGTTATTACTAATCTGATTGTCATAAAAACATAATTTAATAGTTATCTTTATTGAAAATCCAACAAACAATTATTGAATATTCTGATCATTTTTAACTACAGTACGCAGTGGTGTCAGATCCGGTGGGGGATTGGTGCATGGCTGAAACGAAAACATACTAAAAGGTAATAAGAATTGCAATCAATCCCACCAAGCTAAAGTGTCAATTGTACTTTGAATCATATTTCTAAAAAATTGATGATTCTTTTGCTGATCTGTAAAGTAGACATTTATCAACTGCAGATGCCATTTTATGGGATTGATAGAATTCATTTTTATGTTAATTTTTTAAAATATTATCAAAATTTGTTATGTTTTTATTCAATATAAAATGAATTTTTACAAAACATGAACAATTTAGATAGCATTATTTTCGATAGACTTTGAATATCAATTTAAATTACTGTAATTATGTTAATTATTATCCATTGTAAATATATGTTGAAATATTGGAAAACTGGTCCAAGTTTTGTATTTGCCCATTACAATTTCTCAATGCTCCTTGTGTCATATAGTACACATCCAACTGATACTCAAAGTCGTCCTATGCTTGCTATAGCATATCCATTGTTATTCCTTCCATAGCAGCCACAATTTTGTAGATGTGGAGCTTTAGAATCGTGCATCTCCTGCAGATTATTTCTTGCACAATGATGATTGATTCCAAATTTGCAAACTGTTGTAGAATACAAAAAGTCTTTTCTGTTGCAAAGTCACTATTTTCATTTCTGATGCTTCCTAGAAGTAGTAGATGGCAAGATGTTTGAATGCAGATGGGAGACGAAACTCATACGGTTACTCTATCGATTGGTGTACATCACATACACCCATCGATCATTAACATAATTACAGTAATTTAAAATGATAGCATTCATTTTGGAAGACTGTACTTTTATCATTTGAAATGATAGCTTCTATTTTGTTCACTTCTTTATAACTAGTAACCTTAGATTTAAAACAAAATCAAAATAAAATACTTATTTACTATAAATATTGGTAATATACTCTCTTCTCGGAAGCAAAGTTCCCGTAAATAGTATACAATTACTTGGTGTTTTAGTAAATAAATATTTTATAAGGTTATTTGTTTTAATTTTAATGGATAAAATAATAAGATAAGCCATGATGTTGTATTATTGATTACAGGCATTAATATTGTAAATGAATGTAAATGTTCTTCATTATATTAAATTGTCCACAAAATATATATCATTAAATTTATTTTTCTAATAACTGTTTGTTGGAAATGTCTACTTTTATATGATTAACAAAGTCCTATCTAATTAACCTTATCTCTTATCACATTCCTCTTAATGCAGTTTCTCTGCACAGTTTGTTTGCACTTCTTTCTTTAAATAACGCCATGTTTGGTATACCTTCATAAGATCTTTATGGGTTGCATATCATTTTCCATAAATTATTATTAATTTTTAACGTAATTTAACTGTAATTATGATTTTTAATGTTTTAGATCTGTTGGAAGTAGTGTTGAAAGTACCGACAAATTTTCTAATCAAACATCACAAGGAAAAGAAAAAAGACAAACAGGTATTGTTAATATAAAATATATTTTAAACTAAATTAAACTATTATAAATATATATGTAACAGAGTAAAAAAACAAACCAAACTTTTGATATTGCCTAGCAACAGCTGTAATTTCATGCATGTGTGCATTTGAACATTTTCTAGGAACATTTTCTAAATTGGTATTTTTTAATTGTATAGGACACCTACATTTGTATGGATTAGAAAACAAAAATCTAAGTATTGGAGTAAGTATGTATGTATGCACCGTTGAAATTGTGAAATGACACACTACAAGCATCAAATCAAAATTAAATTTTGCACCAAAATTATCAATAGTAAAAACTTTATCAAAGCATTTAACATGTAGCTGTAAGTGTATGTTAATGACATCTTGTTGCATACACAAGTATATAAATGGCATAACTTATCTGTGTAGAAGTGATCAATTACTGGTTACTAAAGGGTCTAAGATTCAAATTATCAGGAGAGGTGAAAAGTGCTGCAACAGTTGTACTCCAGATGATGCAGAATAGTAGCAAGAGCAGGATTGCCACTTGGTTCTTTTTTTAAGGTACTCAGACTTTTTAAAGAAAGTATCTAATAAGTGCAAATGTCCTTAAAGTCTCTTTTTGTGCTTTACAATTGAAGAAAGGCATAACAAATTAAAATGTTATGAGAAATTGCTAGAAGAAAATGAAGAAAAACTAAAGAATTTAAAGATATACAGCACTTAAGTGACATCAAACATCCAAAACCTTCACAAACTTTGTTGATATTTTCATCTGTTAACAGATATCTTCAGGTAAATACATATAATGCAGAACCAAACTGTTTAAATTTGAATATAAATTTGGCTTAAAACTTTTTAATGCAAACATTTTTTACATATGTGGTGGAGTAAAGGCATAAGTGTATAGGTGCAAAAGGTGATCTGTAAATACTCATAACTTTTTCATGTTTACAGTATATTAAAAGTTTGGTTTATTTTTTGTCTCTACCAGATATTATAGTATTCAAAATTAATTTGCAATATAGATGGAAGATCTTTATTTTTAATTTTATAATACAGCATATTAATATGTAGGATGTTTCAAATCGCTTGATTTAATTTTTGTTGTGCTTACCATACATTTAATATTCATTTACGTTAGGTTAATTATATTAAAGTGTTTCTTCTAGATCAGTGATTCTTAACCACTGTGCCATGAGATTTTTGAAGTGTGACGCCACTGCAAATATCCATACATAAGCGACGTCAGACAAGTAGTTTAATTGGTTCTACCTTCCTAGAGCACGTTTAGAAATTGTAACCGGTGTTGCCTGTAGTTACCAAGGCATTTAGAAAGTATGACTTAAATAACCAACTGCGTTTAAAAATCACTGTTATGACGTCACCGGTTGTCCTGCGGTTCTTACCAAAGTAACCGTGTGTGTGTCGCAAAATTTTTAAATTATTAAAAGTGTACTGTGACGAAAAAAAGGTTGAGAATCACTGTTCTAGATATTCGAAAGAAATAGTCATTTGATGAGATTGTCAAATAATTATGAGAATAGTAATATTATAAAATACTGGATGGCTGTAGTTAAGCTTTCCTTATTTAGGGCTTTTTGGCTTTTGATGTAACAATTTGAATGTGTCCAAATTTGGTACAAAAAGAAAGAACTTCATAAAAAGTTTTGGTTCCAAAATCTCTCATTAGAGGTGCTCTTAATCCTAGGATCAGAAACCTTGTATAAAACTGATTTGTTTTTCTTTTTATTGCTATCTAAGAGCTGTAAATATTGCATTCAACTGTTCCAAACATATTCTTACTAATAATATTTCAAATGTGCATAACTTTATCTTATTGCATATTAATTTTGAAGCTATTTTATGAAAATGGGGTATAATGCAGCATTCACTTCATGAGTTTAGATATCATGAAATCTTGCTTGCGGATCCTGTTAGTTCCTGAAATTAGAGCAATGATCTGAAATTTTAGGATTTAACAAGATCTTTGACAGGTCTGGAAGGAAATGGAAACTGGTTTTCTTTCAGATTACAGAAGTTGCAACAGATTCTAACTTAACTACTGCTCACTGGATAACAGTAATTCACTGGAGTACAGTAAACACAGCTTAAACAATCTTTGTAGATCTAGAATGAAACTTTGATTTTGAAAAAATATATATTAACTAATGTCTTTGATCTATAATGATCATCAGATCATTTATATTCTGTAAATGGAATGCGTTAAAGAATGTGTTAAAAAAATTTAAAATTTAATTAAATTATATTACGATTTATGTTAGTTTTAAATTTTTGTAATGCATTCTTCAGTGCATTCAATTTATAGAATGTAAATGACCCAAAGATCAGTATTGATTGAAAATGTTAATCAGTATATATTTTTTTCAAAATTAAAATTTCATTCTAGATCTACGGAGATTGTTTAAGCTTTATTTGTTTCAACAGATCCTTAGATAATTTCTGGTTCTGGCAGTATATGTTGTATAGCAAGATAACTGATATGCCACATTACATACTTAGCTGTTTGGTTGGGATTAATGTGTGGTGAATCTTCTGCAAAGTGTTTCTCATCAAGATCAGCCATCAATGGTAGCCCTGTCAAGGGGTTCAGGAAAGAGATTTAATTTGGTTTGACTTTTCTACAAGCCAACAATGCTTGACCTTAGGACATTTTGTCGAGATAAAGCCTATTTTTTATCCAAACAGTAAAATCTTTAAAATTATTTGGCTATTATAGCTCAGTAATGATTAGAAACTAATTAATTTGTCCAGAGGTAGGCAGTTATGCAGCCATCTCATGATAATTTTAATAATAATAATCTGGTTCTAATAAATATGACGATAATCAGATGTCTTTATGATTAGCATATGCTGTGTTTCTATGAGGATCTGTCACAATTGAAATTATTTGTCGTTTCCCAGAACACTGAAAATACAAAATTTATCCTATTTGTTACCATAAAACGTTATAAAATCTTCAATAAGCAAATGTATTTTGAGAAAAATTAAACAAAAACAAAGACTATATATTTTATATCCTACTTGAAAGTAACATCAGTTATGTTCACAGAGCATTCTGATACTGGTTGCAAGATGTTAACTATTCCAATGATTAGATTATCTTTGTGAATGCATTTATCAAACTTATGAAATGTCTGTTTTTTAAAATATTGTATTAAAATGTCATAGTTTGAGTGCATGATCTGGAACTTTTTAACTAAAACAAGATCTTACTCATAAAGAAATTAATTTATTTATATAAAATGGGTTGTATAATTATGCACCATTATCTATTCACTAGAAATGGTTATTTCTTTACAAATAATAAATGAAAATATAAAAACTGTCTCTTGGCATTACCAATAAATGTTTAATTAAGCACAAGCACTTCCGATTGCAACTGTTTTCTTCAGGTAATATGGCAGATGGAACATTATAAATCTACAGATAGAACACATTTCAAATTGCTCTTCACGCATGAGCATGGAACATAAAAATTTAAATACAAAATTATGTGCCATTACAAAATAAATATAATATACGATGACAATGGTTAACAAAAATAACAGAAATAATTGATAAGAAAAGTTAAACAAAACGTAAACACTGGAGTTCCTTTGTCGTCAGTTTATTTTCGTCACATAACTGTGACCTACGATTTTAGCAAATTTAACAGCGCAATCCATAGCTCTGGAATATCAAGCATGGAAACATTGATGTAATAAACAAAGACTCCCAAATAAACAAGATTCTCCTATCCCCACAGCATTTTACCAGTGAAACTTGTGACCAAAGATGATCAAAGTTATATTGCATCACGTTTTTGGCTATCTCTGTTGAACATCTCCCAAGTGTAATATCTTCACAATGCTCTGCTAAATGAACATGGAACATTCTGGTAGTGGCACCTATATATAATAAATTTGATCCAGTTAGTGGATTTTCTAAAGGTATAGCATAAACTCCAGACTTTTCAAAACCTGTCTTTATCTGTCTTTATCTGTCAAAGTATCCTACGCAATGTAGGCTGGGGAGCTAGTGGTAATATATACCCAAGTTCTCTAAAGACTTGGCATGTACAGTACATAATGAAGGGGCCTAGGTACAGGATGGCTGGTGACACAAAGACCAGTTCCTTCTTACGAAATAAAGTGGATCATGGAAATAATGCATTTTTTTACTTGACTGACTAAATAATTAAACTTGGTAAGAGAATATCCTACACACTGCTAATTTTATGTGGGTAATTCTCTGTCCTTCTGTTTGTATTCTTTAATTCATCTGATGTATTCCTTGTCTTAAGTTTTTTATAACAAGTTTTAATCTTCTAATCCTAATATATTTGTATTGTATTGCAGCTCTTAGAATTTTAAAATTAATATAATCTCTTTCTCTCGTCGGTATAGCCTCAGCTATTGATCTTGGTAATGTTAATGTTTTTAAAAGTTTCCTTTCAGTCAAATGTGTTTTAAGGTAATTTAAATCTGTAATATGTCTATCAATCTCACCTTGCAGTTTTTCTCTGTAATTGTTGTTTTGTTGACCCTTATGCATCTTCTGATGATTATTGCCGTTTCAGTTTTGGAATTCTTATTCTGGTATTTTTGAAACCGTGCCAGTAATTTTTAATCCAAACACAAATTATTTATTGTATTTATACAGACACTTGGCAAATCACAGAATTAAATTTTATTCAGTTGATATGTGTTTCTTTCATTTGTACACGTTTCAGACATTTCTTGCCCCTCTTCAGCCAACTTTTCGATGAGTTTAAACAATTTTAAAATTTCTTCTACACACTTGTAATTACGTTTAAATTGATTTAACAATTAAAATTTACATGCTAATCTTCTGAAGTAATCCTTCTTTACAAATGTATTTCGCTGACCTTTCCTCCCCCCTTTTCCCCCAGTTAAGCGTGCCCAATGTCTACTACACAGTCACGTGACTTGACGAGTAGGCCACATTGTGGCAACATGTTTTAAAAATTACTTTTCTACATAAAAAAT